GAGTTCCTCTCCGAGTTGATTGGACCCAAGGGGATGGCATTTGACAATGACGATATTTTGGAGGATAGCGATGATGAGGATCTCAAGGGTGATTCGATTTCGCAGATGGATATGCAGGTGGGTTGTGTTAGACAACGAGTCACTCTTTTTTCCTTTTGAAATGGAACTGAAGTCGTTTTTTGTGTCTGGTGTTTTATTGTTACAGAGTCACCTTACGACCTTCTTCCGCGAATCCGCTCAACGCAATGTAAATCATTTTTCAAGTATCATGGATCAGCTATCGACAGAGGAGAGTTTAGTGGTGAAAAGAATTCTCAACCAGGCCTAATTTTCGGCGCTGGAGAGTTGAAAGCTGGCACGACCAGCGATGGGGAGACAATAGCATTTCAGTTTGATCTGGGCCCTACACTAATGATTTTCCAAAACCAGTTTGCCTATGTACGACTTCTAAACAAATTCATGGATAGACAAATGTATATTATATGCTAGTTCTTTTACAGACCTAACGGTTATATCCGAAAGCAGTTGTATTTACAACATTGGACTGGCAGAGAATGTGCTCAGAAACGAAAGATTTCGAATTCAAGACCACTATATACATCAAACATATGCAAGTGTAATAAATCCCAATGTCCCATGAATCATAACAGAAAGATAAATGCCAGTATATGTATAAATGCGATGTAGTCTACGTAGGTGTCTCCTTTCCCATATCCCATTCCCTAACAGATCCCCGCTTATTGTACTTGATATCCATGATGCTTGAACTCTCACCGGACCACCTATCATCCATCCCACTCCCTAATCCACTACCAGATGCAATCCCAGACATCGATTTTCGAATCTCCTCCTTACTCAACCCCATCCTCTCCAACCTCTTCTTTTCTGCCTTGTCCTCTTTTCTCTGTTTGAGCAACTCCAACATGGTGTCCCAACTCTCAAACGCGGCACTGTCGATGAGTCCTGTCGCAGGGACTTGAGGCGCAGTGAGGGGTGCAACGTCTAATCGAGGATCATACGATTCTTCAAAGTATTTATCCATTTTCGAAGGGAGAGCAGGGCCAGGCTCCTCGGGACCTGGTGTCGGAGAACGCGAGATAGACATCCAGTCTGAGTCCGCAGAGGGTGAGCGTTCTTGTTTAGAAGGTTTGGATTTGGACTTGGACTTGGATTTAGAAGACTTGGATCTGGACAACTTGGAAGCATCACCATCCCTGTCCTTCCTCTTATCTCTTGATTTGGACGAATAAGAATCGGCGTCTGGAGACAAAGACCGGCGACTGTCTCTCCGTCGATCTCGATCACGAGTGGCGTCTGGGGAAGAAGAGCGAGAACGGGACCGACGTCGATCTCGCCTATCTCGGTCTCGGCGTCGTTCTGTAGGAAGGCTGTCTCTGTCTCTGTCCCTGTGTGATTTGGACGATCCCGCCACAGGGTAAACCTCCCTTTCTCGTTCCTTGCCCTTTCCTTTTTCTTCTTTCTTCTCTCGCTGCTTCTCCCCATTTAGTCTAGATTTGAGTTCGGCACGCAACTCGCTTTCGAGCTCGACGGTGGTAACGGAGGAAGAAGGAACAGTATCGAAAGGTAGCGAAGGAGAATGCAAGCTACCATTCTTAGTTGAAGGTTTCGGAGATCGTGAACGGCTTGTTCTACGTTTATCCCTGTATTCGCGTGGCGGAGGTTCATCGTCTTCCGAGTCTGAAGAAAGTGCATAACGCTTTTTCGGCTTGTCGTTGATTCTTTCCCTTCTGCCTCGTCGCTGTTCCTTGGAGCCTTCGTTATGGTCATCGGCGCTGCGCTGAGATGACGCACTACGTGAACGAGGTCGAAATGAGGAATGTCTATGTTGAGAATGACTACTCCTGTGGTAGGTGTCTCTGTGTTCAGAATCTGAAGATAGTGTTCGGGAACGATCAGAATCGCGTTTCCGTTGAGAAGACGTGGAGTGTCTTTCTCGACTTCGGGAGCGCGTAGAAGAGTGTCGATGGCTGCGACTATGTCTGTGGCCTCTGTCTTCGTCTCTGTCTCTATCATTGCGCGATTTGGAGCGGTGCCGTCGTCTACGACGCCGCGATTCCCTGCCACCATCGCCATCGTGATTATCTTCATCATCTCGACCATCCCATGTCTCCCAATCCCTATGTTTTCTCTTCCTATCACCTTTCCTGTCTCTTCCATCCCATCTATCCCAGCCTTCATCTTCATCTCTTGTTCTCCATCTGCTACTCCCAGAGCTATGAGACCGCCCCATACGCATTTTCTCAGCTTCGACCGCCTCTTGCGCTCGTGCATGTCGTTCTCTTCTCTCCTGTTCCACCCGTTCCCGTTTGATCTCTTCAGCAGCTAATGCCTGAGCTCGAAGTACTGTCTTATTGTGTTCATCTGTATTCCGTATGATAGATGACAAGAATCGCTTGTTCGTTTTGGGAGCGTTGCTGTCCGTTCTGTTTGAAAAAACCGTCAAGATATGATATTAACAATTAGCTAGTAAAAACAAAGAGCGGGAAGAGTCAAAATGGAAGGAAACATACAAATGACTTGACAAGTATGCTCGAATACCCTGTTTCCCGTACTTTTCCGCTCTCTTCTTTGCGTCCTTGATTAACAAATCGCGGACATGACGATCCAAGTCGTCGTCAGTCACGCTGGGATCCACTGAGGTGCCCATGGACGCCCGGACCAGGTCGGACACTACGGAAGATAGAGAGGACATCCCGGTTCTTACCCACTAGATTACCAGCGCAATGGTTCTCGAACTAAAAGAAAGAGATAGTGCGGGGTGAAAAACGTGGAGGAGTTCAACGTTTAACGCTGTTTAACGGCGTCGTGGCGTGAAACTCCGTGGGATTATGTAACACCCAATCTCTTACAACCCGAGCTTCCATCCCCCGAGTTTTTTACGGTGTTGGGATGGTCAAGTTGGGTGTAAATATCTTATGGGGGCACCTCTAAAAGGTATGTTACGCATGCGAGATACATCGTCGTTCATTTCTCGTTCTGAGACAGGTTCCAATCATTTCTCGTTCTGAGACAGGTTCCAATCTCAGCATAGACAGAGTACTAGTCGCTTTCTTACTACTAGAGCCGCGGCGTCGATTATGGTGGTAGCTTTCTTTGGCCTTTTCAAGCTTGATGACCATTCTAAAATAATGCACAAGCTTTGACAAGCCAGGTAATATAAACTGATCAAACCCGAGCGATGTACGCCGTAGGTCTACAACAGACTACCAGTTATCAATGCTAGGAAATGTCTCATCAACATTGCCTTGACTGATCGTCTTTGGACCACGGCAAAACTAATATGAATCTGTAGTCCATTAAAGACTCTTCTATTTCTTGGCTTTCTACCCACTGGACTCAGAAATTTTTTGACCCTTCAATCACTGGTATACCTAAGCACGGAATTCTGATCAAGACTTGGTTATCCACCGAAGTTGCCCCTATCCTACTTGTCATCTCCGGTCTTCAACAGCAATTTTAAAACTCAAAGACTGATTCTCAGACAACTTGCTTTGTTTGCTCTTAGTATTGCTACTGTGGTTCTCCACATTTTGTATCGAAGATTCCTATCGAAGATTCCGTTCGAAAGCGAAGTCGCGACCGAAACTTTTCTCAAATACATTGCAGTGCCTTTTCTTTCTCCGTTGACACCTTCCTAGATGCATGGCGACATACCACCTGCGACGATTGTTTTGTGAAGCTGGCAATACTGATGCCCGGGCTAGATCCTCTGCCAACTTAAGAGAGCTGTCGTTTTGACCTCAAAAAACTCCAGTGACAGCCGCATCGTCCACTTGAATTAATTTCAATTAAAATACGAATCCGGAGTCAGTCCAAGTTTACTGATTGCTCTTGATCTCAAGGTGAGTGGATCATGTCTGTTAATGAAATGAGTCCACATTCTGATACCTGACTCTTGGTGCCCAAGTTTCTTGTACAAATCGCTAGATAAAGAATTCACCGAAACTACCCCTTGTTCAATGAATGTCGGCGTTCAAGTCCGTGTGCTAGCTGTTGAATAAGTTGCCGGTACATACCTTTTCCAGGTCTGGTCAGTTCGATAGCTGTGTGAACAGCTTGAAGAAAACTTGACAGATGAGGTGAAGTGCCACCTTGCCGCGTTACTTCCAGAATTCGCTATAAGTATGGATCTCGGAGATTCACCGTGTCATGTTGTCGTGTCCATTCTACGTGCTTGTATATTCAAGCTGTAGATTATGTTACACGAGCGCTTTGGGAAGCTGTTGAAGCGCAGTGCAACTTTTTCATTCTTACTCGATCGTCCCATCAAGGATCATTAGCTATTCAAGAAACCCAAAAACGGGTTTCTCTACCTACACATCTGCTGGCGCCTGTGAAGGTGGATAAGGTCGCCGTTGCCGTTTTTTTTTTTTGAGTGGGTCACTGATGTCTAAACTGCGCAGGAGCATGAGGCACGAAGGGCACGGACGGGAACAGAAGTGAGGTAAGACATCCGGCGAAAACATCACTCCTTTGCGCAGGGGAATGGCCTGCTGTCATTTTGCCACAGCACAAGGACAGCAATTTTCTTCACGCTTTTCCCACATCTCTTTTTTCTGGATTTCTCTCAGACGCTGAAGAAGAGGACTCGGAATTCTATCCGCTCGTGGGGAGAACTTCATTTGACTTCTCGAAAATCTTTGAAAGTACTTCGAAAGGGATGTGAGATACTTCTTCCGAGCCAGAGTCCGATAGTCGTGTGATACTTGCGAGAATATTGCGACAGTATGTTTCAAAGCGTCGGGGAAAAAAAATCGACATCTCTCCCTTGTATCGGTTTTCCAGGCTTCGTTTTCTTCCCCTAGTTTCTCAAAATTTGCAAGGCTCAAGAACATGCCCTCAAAGATACAATCATGTATATGTATGAGTGCTGAGTACTAAGTATTATGATCAACGCACCTAACTTTGTAACTTTAAGATCATAGCCTCGAGTAGAGACGAACCGATTTCGGAACAATTTTCTTCTGCAATGAGTACAGCCGACCTTAGGTCAGTTGGAAGAGCACAAGACTGTAAAGGGATGCCAATCTTGGGGTCGCCTGTTCGAACCAGGCAGGTCGGATATACCCATAGTGTTATTATTTTCTTTTGTCGAAAGTTTTATCTCCTGAACAGCCCTTTTCGACAGAGACCTCCCTGAATCTTTGAGAGATTTCACTTGTTTGTAACTTGTGGTGACTGCCTTTTGCCATGACACCACATTCACGCTCTGAGTCTGATTATTATCCAAATTTACGGAGATCTAAAAAGATCCCAGGGACCAGGATGCTGAATCTGAAATCCAGCCCTGGATATTTGAATATCTACTGATTATTTTTGTTGAGACTCGGCGATCTCATTTTGAGCAATTTAGAATTGGAGAGGAATAGATCCGTTCAGATCTAAGGGTAAACTGCGCCACCTTTCAGTGTCGCTAAACACATGGCCCGTATTGCGGCGCAGATCCCGAATACATACCGACCCTCTTCCACCAATAGGGCCTCTCAAGTGTTGTTTCCACGTTGCCCGTTTTGAAACATCTTGACTCCTTTGAGCTCCTTGGCCGTCGGGTTCTGGTTAAGTATAATTGCGTCGGTCGGGAGTTTCAAGGCCCTGAATTTGCTCAATAAACGGACCGTCCGTATGGAGTATGAAGGGGGTAGTAGGTACGGAGTCCCGACGAAAGTGACTTGCGTGGGTGTAGTACAAAGGTGATAGGCGGCCGACGGACTTGAGGTACATGGATTTCAGTTGCATCCTGTCATTCGAGGTCTACTTAGAAATTTGGATTGAGTTCAAAAATTACGAAGCCAAGCTTGAGGTTCATGATAACTTTGGATCTCGCCATTATTGCTCCTTGCAGCTTGCTTACGATATTAAAGTTTCATGGAGCACATCGCTCATACTTAGATCCCTCAGATGACAAACGAGTACATTTCATTCTCGGAGACCGACCTTGGACAACCGGAGAACGGTAGCAGTGTCGGGGATACTATTGTTGTATTGTGCGTGCCAGTGAGCTGGGCGCCGCCCGCCCGTTCCTTTATCCTGCAGGAACATGCTTTCAACTTGTTTCACTAAAGTTTCGCACTAGCCTTTTCGATAAAACCCAAAAAATAAAACCGCCATAATGCGTTCAAATTAATTCTGACTTTCTGACGTCCAATGAGGGTATATCCACTTCCGAGGAGATAACATGGTCTTTAGAGCATCATCATACTTGTACCCTTTTTACCGCGGAGAGACACGGCCTTCTCTACCGGAGCGTTTCACTGAAGTAGAAATGCAAAAAAGTACTGTACATTGGTGGGCAAAGCTATTTAATAAAAACATAACACTCAAAGTATAGAACCATTATTTGGACACACTGGGAATTGAACCCAGCACCCCCCGCAAGAGCTACTATGAATCGTATGTACACAGATTATGCTAAGCGGATGTGATAACCAACTACACCATGTGCCCATATCTGGATGGGCAGCATAGGTCAAGTCGAATTGAAGTTCAGTATAAGTTTTCACTGTCCAGTACCAAATTCCCAATTCGATGTGATGCGTAACCTCAAGAAGGAGCGCCGCAGATTTAAGGCAAAGCTAAGCATTCCACCGATACGCAAACAAAATTAGCAGTGTACTAAATCCAAGGAGCCGAATTAAGGAAGTGAATGGCAATTTGCAAATGTAGTATGTAGTAAATTTGAGTCCACGGAGCCTTAAAATCATTTCCAAATGCCCCGCATATTGACATTGACTGTTCTCTGATCCCGCGGAACACAATGCGCGCGTGAATTTTCAATAAAAATATGATCGATCAATACAGATCGTGAATAGGGGGAAAACAGGCTGTGCACTTTGTTTACATCCCTGATACTAGTTTCGAAAAGATCCACATGTTACTTGCTTGCAGCTGTGAGCGTTTCACGCCAGGATTCGTTGATACGTTTGGTTGATAGGACGGACCGTGTCTAGTGATGTGACACTTTACTGAGAACGGGCCGTCTGTACTTACGAGTGATGGCTTCCCGTCGTGTTGGATGTGGCTGTTTGGCGGAGATTTACGGTTTGAACGGTTGACCTTTGAATGCCAGTTCGCCGACGGAGGTGTCGATGTACGGAGCTTCGAACCAATCAAAATTCAAGGCCGTAAGGTCCAAGGTTGTCTAGGCTTGAGGCCTTGAGGCCCTACACGGACTTTTGCGCCCGACCGCTGTAAAGTCCATGCCGGAAGGTCCTTAAGGAGATGAACTTGTAAGAACACTGTCAAAATCAGACATCAAACCTTCACTAAGTCTGGAAAAAGCAGATGTTTTTGACATATCGTTCCTTCACGGTGATTCCCATAATGAAATGTAGAAAAGTGATGTCTGCCACAGAAACCACATATTATTATGTATCATTGATTGTTAGTTTGTAACGGGGAGCATTGAAGTAAATGAGTCTTCATAAAAACAGGCACATAGATTCGTAGAAGAGATTGACGCTCTATCGACAGACGATGGGAGTTATTTTCCTCCAATCATTGTGAAGTTTGTCCGAGGCCAAATCGTGTTCCAGGCTCGGTCATTGGCCCGTTAATCACTACTCTTAATTACACTATCAGACTCAGCCACTGGTGATTGGTCCAGTGTACGCCCGAGAATGCCGATCTATAACTGTTCTTCCATCCGAAGAATTCGTCTACATGCATACTCCGTTCATATCATGACAATCCAAAACGAGAGATAGGGTCTCTACCTCCGCTCACCAGAGATGGTTTTATCAAGGTTTAAGTTTGTGCGCATGTGAACCAAGATAAGTACTCAGTACTCACTGATTGGACAAATGTAGACCTATACAACACTTAAGTACTAAATACTTTGTAACACTGAGCTCCAGACTGACCATACTTATCTGAATTTCTTCAGCACAATCCATAATGGACTGAAAGCCTTCGCATTGAATTTTTTTTTTGTGGCTTCGAGAATGTACATTTAGAGTTCACATCGATCTACCGACGTCTCGATTCCATCTACTTTTCAGTGCTTTTTTTAATTCCGGCACGGATTCGCGTCCGAAGAGAGGACTCGACAAAAGCCCCTAAGGTAAGTATCTCGAGGATAAAGCTGAGTTTACCGTGACAAGACAGAATTCAAGAATATTAATGTAAAAAAGGGGAATATCGGTTTTTACCGAAGATACGACTCTAAGTAAAGTACCCACTAGCCTGCAGCCTCATCGAATCCGGAGAATAAGTGATGGCGGTCCTAGAGTGAGCGGCAATGTGTAAGAATAAGTACACAGATAATAATATTATGTGTCACTATGAGGCCCGGGTAATCAAGTATGTAAGTAAGAGGCCGTGGCTTGGTCATCTAACGATAACTTTGAAAGAATAAGACTAAGCAAGTGGGTACGTCGGAATAACGATGTGCACCCTTGGGAACTAACCTTAGTAAATGATTCGGCTTGGTAGGTTGTTGGTCCGGGAGAGACTTGCGGAATTCTCAGCACCAATGTGAAATCCGTGGCACAAGTACAGTAGTTATTTCTGGTACTCTATTTTAGGTAAGAAAAAAAAAAGAGCCATAGAACGGAGCAGTTAGAAGTTAAAGTCGACTCGACAGACGCCGATCAAGCCCTCAGTCGAACGTCCCACACTTGCATAGGGGATCCGTCTAAGTCCATCATCAACTATTTTGGACTTTACATCGAATTTCAAGAGGTCCTCAAGTTGAAATTCATCTACTACTAGCTCCGATTCAGTGGCGTATTTATGCCTGCTCGAGAGCCTCTTCTGCTTCCATACATCTGCCAAATGATTTTCAAAAACAAGGAATTTGCCAGTCCTTGGGTACTTGTATACTAACCTCTACTACGTACTTAGATATATACGACTTGGAAAGCGCCGGTTATAGGAAAATCACCTCAAATTTCGCCACCCGCATATATGCTTGAGTTTGTTTTCACCTGTTTATTGATAATTTGATATGGTAGGTGTTCTAGACTTACTACTAAGCCAAAGCGAGAAATATCCGGTCTGGAAAAAAGTCAATAGAAAAAGAAACAAAAGGAAGGAAAGGAGATCACTTCGAAGCGCTTGGCGTTCGACCAAAGCAGGCGTCCCTTCGACCTACTTGGCAGCTTTTTCTCAAGAAAATGCTAAAGCCAAACTTTTCGACTCTGATGATCTGCCGAGTGGCAAAGTCCCAGAAGAGTGAGTACTCATAATATGTACTGTGTACACCGTTGACCATGAGACCTACCCGCTCTCTTATTTCCCCTATCGATCCTCGACCCTCAACTCATTATCCGGGAAGCCAATGAATTTTAGAGTAGTCATATCATGGTCCCGAGCCTGTGATTGAATGTCAATGTCAAGTCCATATCTCTGACCCTGAACTTCTTCAAAAAGAAGGCGATATTTCGTGGTCTTACTGATTTCAAGTCTGATTTAAAGGGAAGTGCTAGTCGCTTGGCCATTTCCTTTGCTTCTATATGCACGATTGGCATCACAAATTTCTCATTACATCTGAGAGGTTCAATACTAAGTAATAGTTGTGTAGTATGTACTACTGTATACGGAGTGATTACATCCTAGTCGACACAAACTTTTATACACATTTTACACCGTGACAATACACATGCTCATGCTTCCATTCCTTGATTGTCAGACTCTGTCAAAGGCTGCCTCGAGCTCCAGCCCTTAAACACAGATCCACACGCCGATGTCCAAATGTCATGTGTCAATTTTTGCAGTGGCGTATTACAATTTATACACGCATACGATATTATATTATACACACACCTCCTGGCATACGGGAGCGGTATAAGTATGTCATGTAAAGTGCAATTTTTTTAGTTACCCTTTACCCAGTCCTAATCTATGCAACTTCTCATGGAAATTCTACACACATGTTACATTGGCTCCCGTCTCTCTCGTATTTCCATGGCGAAAGGAAACTTTTTGTGTGGCGGTGGACGGATGTCTTCGGATGTTAAGTAAGTATTAAATACTACAAAAAAAAAAGTGGCATGTACACGAATAACTCAAGAACTGCTGGTAAAAATAGCCCGTCCTCCACGGAAGATGAAGAGCTATCTGAATAGGAGTTGCCTCTGAAGTTCTCACTCGAGACGTGCGCAGCTGGTAGAGTTTCTTTTATTACCAGTGATAACGTTTACTTATCCGTACACTCGGAAGTTAATTCTGCGTCGAGCGCGGCTTTGTGGCACGGACTTCAATTGCCATCTAGAGTCCAAATATACAGTACGGTACGCAACCTATGAGTTTCTGTACACTATCGTTCGATCAGGGTGGAATCAACATGTGCAGACGTCTCAGGCTCTTATCGATTTTCTAGACGTCTGACTTATGTACGATACATCTACAAGGTTCTATACACTGCGGTTTGATGAGAGTGGAATTTTCTAAATAAGGATAAAGTACTGGTGCCACTTCAAGCTGGCTACAGTAGCAATCAATCACTACTGCTCCCAATCATTCCAAAGATGTTGATTCAAACACTCTAAATTACTATTTTTGAAAATCTCGAATGTCAAATATATATACATGATATTGAAATATGACCAAGTAAGTATACTTGTAAGTAGCTTATTAGATGGTATGATCAACGATTGCAACATTGACATCTTATTTATAAGTAGGAACGTTCCAAGTCGAGTCAACATGAACGCGTCACAGCTTACAGCGTGTTACCATACGTACGGATTCTACAATGTTACTTGTTAAAGCTAAAGTAGCCAAGCTCCAAGGCTCAATAAATGGATAGGTACATACGTCTGCGATGGTGTATATTCGGTCTTGGTAAAAAAAGATTCGATCAGTTTAATCATAATACGTATGGAACATTTCAAATGGCTTTCGAATTGAAATGACTCGGACTCCGGCAGTGCTGACATCCCAAAGTATCATTGGTTAGTATTTCAAAGAATGAACGGACATAGGACATAGAAATGACTCGGACTCCGGCAGTGCTGACATCCCAAAGTATCATTGGTTAGTATTTCAGAGAATGAAACGGACATAGGACATAGAACGGGGATCGTGTCGTCGGATGCACGCATGTAATTGCAATCATCGAGTCGAACGATGGAACGTCTCCAGTATCGCAAAAAGAGAACTGAGACTTTCTCCCCTCGATACTATTACCACCGCCGCCCGGGTAGGTATATACCCGGGCGCGAGTGCATTCCGGAACCCCCGACCCCTTCGTGCCAGTGAAGACCGAACGACGAGGCGCGGGATCAGTCAGTTACTTGCTAAGTACCAGCAAAAAAAAGGTTCCGTGTCCACCTATAGTAGCTATAGTAATGAACACCAACAAATTAGCCAAGTCTTTTTTTTCCACAAAATTTCAACCCTACAACGTTGCGAGAATCATGCCAAAAAAAAATAATAATAATCCCTCACTCCCATGCGATGCGCTTCCTATCCTGAGACTTGCCTAATTGGCACCGAGCGCTAAT